CACAGTATTGAATGCTATGTAATTTTTAAATAAAAATTGTATCATTGTATCTAATTATGCATGTTTGACAAATTTTTACAAACAGAATTGCTGGGTGTGGTGGTGCATATCTTTTATCCCACTCACGTGGATGAGGAAGAAGGATCTCAAGTTTGAAGTCAACCTCAGTAACTTAGCAAGATCCTGTCCCAAAATTAATAAAATAATAATAATAATAATAATAATAATAATAATAATGGCTGGGGGGTTTAGTTGTGTGTAAGGTACTCCTGGGTTTAAGGGGGAGGAGGGAGTGGATAAGGATGAAGCCATTAGGTGCATATGCCTAGGTTTCCTTCAAGGAATATATATACACTTATACCAGCAGGAGCAGCTGATTTTTTTTTTTGGAGGTGGGGGTGCTGGGGATTGAACTCAGGGGTACATCCCCCGATTTATTTTATATTTTATTTAGAGACAGGGTCTCACTGAGTTTTGAACTCTTGATCCTCCTGCCTCAGCCTCCCAGGCTACTGGGATTAGAGACATGTGCCATGCTATCTGGCCAGCTGATTTTAAATGTACCTTATCATTCCCTTTGCAAAAACAAATATTTATTGAACATTTGCAATGTGTCAAGTACATAATGTATTGTTTTAAATTTTAGTAATTTGATAGAAAATGTTATAATTTTCTATTGACTAGGAAATTTCCATGACTTGTCTGTGGTGTTAGTATACTTTTCTATTTATGTGCTGGTATTTTCTTACCTTTTTGTTTTCTTTAGTATTTTCTTATTACTTTAATTTTATTTTGATAGGTATTTTCTGGTTTAGCAAAATGTGACATTTTAAGTAGTGAAATATACAGATTTTTTTTTTCCCTTTCATGATTTGATCTGCTTTTGTTTAGAAAGGTGCTTCATCATTTAGGGATGTTTCTAATCCCAAGCTTTTCCCCTTTACTTTTTCTTTCTCTTAAAATATTTTTAAAAATTATCTAAGCCACCTGGGTTTTATTTTGGTGTGCAATATAAAACAAGGAACATTTTTTTTCCTTCTACATAGTCATTTTCCCCTCAGAATTACTTCCCTATTGGTTTGTGGTGCTAATTTTATCTTCAATTAAATTCTTACTTACATATGTGAAGGTCTGTTTCTGGGCAATCCCAAGTTTTAAAAAGTGTTCTTCTAGTATTTTGACTAAAATAACTTTAATCACTTTAGTTTGGAAAAGAATTTACTTCACAGTACTCAGTGCTCCCAGACAGGAGCCAGATGTGTCTGGTTTTTTTGTTTGTTTCCTTCGTATGGATCAGTGTTTTCCAATTAGGATTATTCCTAGATATTTTATGTTTTTGTGGCTACTGTTTCACACACAAATTCTGTTTTCTGATGAGATCAGGTGGGTTCATGGTTGTATGGTTATAGGTGCCATACTACTAAGCAATTGTTCCTAGTATATAAAAATAGTTATTTTTAAGGTTTTTTTTTGTTTGTTTGGTTCTTTTTTTTTGGGGGGGGTCATGGGGAAAGGGAAAATGTCCTAACAAAGACATGTCTGAGATAAGACCACTGTGGTATCTCATCTCGTCCTTCCCACTTGTTAGTTGTCTGATCCTGGCCAATTACTTAACATGAACCTTCAGTAGGGGAATATTAAACACATTAACTACACTTTTTTTTTTTTTTTTTGGTACTGGGGATTGAATCTAGGGGGTATTCTGACACTAAGCTACATCCCCATCCCTTTTTATTTTTTGAGGAAGTCTTGCTAAAATTACCCAGGCTGACCTTGAATTTGTGATCTTGCTTTATTTTTGCAAAGATAAAGTGAGATAGATAATGAAGAACATGTAGGGCTTCAAATCAGTTTAGCTCATATTTTACTACTAAGAGTTTTAAGAGATCCTTGCTTTTGAAACTGGAGACAATTAGATGGATGAAATTAAATATTAAATTTAAAACAATTTAAAGAATATTGAAAAGACAGGACCTGCCCCAATAAAAGCTGATACTTTATTAGGTCTTTTTTTAAAAATACCTTTATTTTGTTCATTTATTTTTATGTGGCACTGGGGATGGAACCCAATGCCTCTCATGTGCTAGGCAAGTGCTCTACCACTGAGCCACCCCAGCCCCCTAGGTCTTTTTTTGTTTTTTAAAGGTAAACAATCTAAGCAGCTAATTATAGTACTATCTCCTGATACCTTTTAACTTCATCTTATTGAGTTAGCTAGATTTTCTAGAATGTAAAATAAATGGATAAAAGTCAGCCTGGGATCATTCTTGATTTCAATGGAAGAACCTCCTATTAATTCACCAGTACATCTCTATCAACTTAGATATTTTTCCTTTTATTTTTGGAAATTCAGATCAACAAATGTATTTAGTCTTAGCTTTTTTAACTCTAAAAGAGATCTTTAAGATCATTTGTATAATAATTTGATTATGGTACAAATTCAAATTTTGAATTTGAGGGCTAGTGAGGAAAGCCAAACCCTGATTTATTGTTCATATTTCTTAAATGGTTCATGAAAACTGTTCCTTCCAACTGAGGTATCAAGAGAAGGAAAGCAGGTTTTTACCCAAATAGTTTACATTCAATCATGTCTGAACAAACCCCTGTCAATATTCTTATATTCTGTCTGTATAATAGTTTATCAAAATACCTTTTTAAAGATCTAAGGCATTTTTCTTAGTATTTTGGGTAACATTTTCATATTAGCTGTTATCTATCCCAGACTAGTTTTTTAAAAACACAATTTAAAGTTCACATATGAAAATTGATCAATTTCTTCCAGTTCTCTCAAGTATTTTTTTTTAAATATTTATTTTTTAGTTCTTGGCAGAAACATCTTTAATTTAACCAATATACTTATTTTAAAACTATTATTCAATTGGTATTATTTTAATACCAATTGAATAATAGTTTCAAAAGGGCTACGATAGAGCTCAGTGGCAGAGCACCCCTGGGTTCCATCCCTAGTACAAAAAAAAAAACAAAACAAAACCAGAAATACAAGTTTTAAACTTGCTTAAAATATAAATTATAAAATTTTGAACTATAAGGTAATTGTAGTTTTTTTTTTGTTTGTTTGTTTGTTTTTTTGGTATTGGGAATTGAATCCTCCACACCACTAATCTACGTCCGCAGTCCTTTTTTTTGAGACAGGTTGCTTAAGTGCCCAGACTGGCCTTGAGTTTGGGATCCTATTGCCTCAGCCCAAATTGCTGGGATTACAGATGTGCACCACTGTTTCTAGCCAGAATTTGCTTTCTATCCCAAATCTTCTTATAGAAACACTGAGTTATTTGTTAGTCTTTCATCCATGATTCCAGAAGGATGGTATCAGTCAAGGGTTCAAGGGTATATTTCAGTCTGTGTAGGGGAGTAGTCCTATAGACCCCACTTTCAAAAGGATCCCTGCACCTTCAGAGAGCCTAATGGATTTTGATGGGTAATCTAAGTGGCAGCCCCTAAACTGAAAGTCCCGCTTCCCTCTTAGGAAACTTTATTACTCTTGACTCAGCTCTGTAGAGGATGTGGTTGGTAAAGTTTCCTGCTTCTAGTGGTCACATGCTCCCATGGCCTCCCTGTATGGGCCTGATGGCTGCAAACAGGAGCAACTCTGATTTTAGGGATTGGAAGTAGCAGCCACAGTGACCTGTTTGAGGTCATTACCATCAGTCTCACCTGGTAAACATGAGGACATGAAATGTATTAGCCTGACTCCAGGATTTCTGGATTATCTATAAATTAGTAGTTCATTTCTCTAGGGAATCACTCTAAAAATTTTAAAACCTTAAATCCTGTACATTAAAAAACCTAAATGAGCCAGATATGGTGGCATACACCTATAATTCCAGCAGTTTGGGAGGCTGAGGCAGAGGGATCAAGTGTTTGAGGGCCAGCCTCAGCAACTTCAGGAGCCCCTTAGCGACTTGGCAAGACCTTGTCTCAAAATTAAGAAAAAAAAAGGACTGGGGATATGGCTCAGTGGTTAAGTACCCAGGGTTCAATCCCTGGTAACAACCAACCAAACAAAAAACAAATGGATAATTTTGAATATACAGTTTACTTTGTATTTCCTTAACATTGCTAATGTTATTCTCTCTAAACATTAAAGAAATTCCTTAGCTGGGCATGGCACCAGCCTATAACCCAGTGACTCCGGAGGCCGAGGTAGGAGGATTACTTACAGGTTGGAGGCCAGCCTTGGCAACTTAGTGAGACTCCCACAATTTAAAAAAAAAAAAAAAAGGGCTGGGGAGTAGGGAATAACCTGATTTCAATACTTCAAGCACAGAAAATACACACTGTGCTATTTTCTGAAGGTTAATTACAATTCTACTGTTGAGATTAAATGTTTAGTTCACTGGTTGAAGACTGCTGAGGGTATAGTTCAGTGGTAGAGCATGTCCTGGGTTCAATCCCCAGTACCAACTCCCCACCCCCAAACCTAAATGAAGACAACCTACTGAAGACCAATAGGCTAATTTTTTTTATTATAGTTGTAAAGCCTTCCAGATTTAGCAATAGCCCATTAGAATGAGGAACTGTAAAATAAAAGCCTTGTCTCACATGCTGGTTTACCGTCAGAGATGGTTTCAAAGCCAGTATTGTAGTCAGCTATTATTAATTATGCCTTATAGCTAATAGGATAAATTTGGGGCTAAGTCCCTCAAACTAAGAAAACTTGTATTTCTGGTTTTGTTTTGTTTTTTTTTGTACTAGGGATGGAACCCAGGGGTGCTCTGCCACTGAGCTCTATCGTAGCCCTTTTGTATCTTTTATTTTGACAGTATCTTACTAAATTGTTGATGGTGGCCTTGAACTTGGAATCCCCCTTAGGCTCCCAAATTGCTGGGATTACAAGTGTGTACCACCTGCCCAGTAAAACCTGCATTTCTGTCAACAAAATGACTAACGCTATCATATGAAGATGGCAAATACTTAACACTCTGCAGGTTCTAAAGGATTAATACTTAAAACTGGAGGCAAAAAAAGTTAGGATACCATTTTTTCCAAAAGCACTGTTTTTATTTATACAGAGTCCTAACTACTTCAGTAGTAGGAGTGGGAGAGGTTCCTTTTTCAATCCAGGGCCTCCATAATGTTGGTTTGTTGTTACCAAACACACAGACAAGTGGCATCATGGATTTGGTAAACTAATGACAATGTCTAGTCTCTCTCTGCTAGTGCAACAAGGTGAGCATCAATCTCTGCTTCTGTAAGAATCCTAGAAAACAAAAGGGTAAAAAACAACAATTACTAAAAAAAAAAAACCACCTCATTATGCAAAATGTCAAACACATAAAAGACAGTGTAACTCCCATGTATCTATCATCTAACTTCAACATGATCAATTTATAACCACTCATTTTAAGAGATTCACCCAACTACTACTACTCCCTCAGTATTTTGGAGGAATTCCCAGACATTATGTCAACTTCATCTATATACAGAAATATGTAGTTGTTTAATATTAGATCCAGAAATAGGTCTTTGGAAACAAAACTCTTTTAGTTATGGCAGACATAGAAATATTTCAACTGAATAATATAAAGCTAACCTATACGTAATGTCCTCAATTAAGCAGTGATGCTGGAATGCCTTTATACCCAGTATAACTCAAGTTTCTTATCAGTTGAAAGATGAAAATTTGTATAGAAACTTACATGAACTTTTAAAAAAAGTTGCTCAGATTCAGAAGTCCATGAAAATGAAATTATAACTCTATGAACAGTCTTTTAGTCAGAAGGTGCTCCATTTTGAATATATGACATTTTCTAAATTACATTTGCTTTCAAAGGAATTAACTGCTTGACAAACTTGTTGATATGACCTATTAATGCTGCATTCCTAAGAAGTGAAATTTGTTGTTGGGCATGGTGGAGCACACTGTAACTCCAGCAACTTGGGAGGCTGAGGCAGGAAGTCTGCATTATTTCACTAAACCATTTAGTGAAACTCTGCCTCAAAATAAAAAACAAATCAAGACTGGGGATGGAGTTCAGTGGTACAGCAAACATCCTTAGTACCAACCAACAAACAAAAACCAGGTGAAATTTGTCAAATAAGTGTAACGGGGGGGGGGGAATATTAAGCTATATTATATATAGTTGTTAATGCTTATGCTGTATGTCCTAGTTACTAAAGTATACTTACTATCACAGAATTTATAAATGATAAAAGGTTTTTGAAAGACACAGAATCCTTGTGTTTTTTTTGGGGGGGGTATGGTTGGGGGATGGGTACCAGGGATTAAACTCAGGGGCATTTGACCACTGAGCCACATCCCCAGCCCTATTCTGTATTTTATTTAGAGACAGGGTCTCACTGAGTTGCTTAGTGCCTCACTGTTGCTGAGGCTAGTTTTGAACTCTTAATCCTCCTGCCTCAGCCTCCCGAGCTGCTAGGATTACAGATATGCACCACTGTGCTCAGCAGGATCCTCAGTTTCTTACCTGATTATTTACTTACTTTTTGGGGGGTACAGGGGCACTTTACCACTGAGTTATATTCCTAGTCCTTTTCTTATTTTGAGACAGGATATTGCTAAAATTACCCAGAGTGGCCTTGAATTCTTACAATTCTCCTGTCTCAGTCTCCCAAGTAGCTGGGATCATTAGGTGCATGCCACTGTACCCGGCTCTTATCCAATTTTTAAAATAAGAGATACAAATAAAATTCAAAGATTGATAATCAAAAATTCTTAGACGAGAAAACCAGAACTAATGGCATCCTCCTACTCCCTTAGTACTGGTGACTGAATCCAGAGGCTAACTACAGGTTCTATAGAGAGATATATAAATTGCTCCTTTTGGATTTTTAATGTATAAAAAATAAAACAAAAATGGCAACCTTAGCCAGATGTGGTAGTGCATGCCTATAATCTCAGTGACCATGGACATTGAGACAGGAGGATCCCAAGTTTAAGACTAGCCTTTGCAATTTAGTAAAACTCTAAAAAAAAAAAAGAAAGAAAGAAAAAAAGAACTGAGTATGTAACTCAGTGGTACAGAGTAGTACTGGTTCAATTCCCAGTACCACCAAAAAGGAAAAAAACAAAAAGTAACCTTGTTTTACAAGAAAATCAATCCTGTTTTTGTTTATTTTGTTATAATCAATCCTGTTTTTGTTTATTTTTAATCCTAGGAATTAGGATTTAATTAGATCACTTACCTACAGGCAACCAAAACTTATATTTTGGCTTATCTACCCTCCACCCCAACCATGATTATGTGTTCTTTCAGTGTGATCTAAGAGAAGATACACAGTTCCTCGCATCTAATCCCCAAAGCATGCTAGTCCATGGTATGCAATCTATCTCAAAGGATGCTGGAAGAATTAAGTGAGCTGATACACAGAAGTTAGTTACTTAGTAACAACACACAATAATCCAGCATCTGCAACTCATCAGTTATATTCAAAATTCCAGTTTTCCCAAAGATTTCTAGATAATGGTGTGATTTATAAGTACACTTAAGCCAGGCACAGTGATTGCATGCCCCATCAACTCAGGAGGCTGAGGCATAAGGATTGTAAGCTCAAAACCAACCTTAGCAACTCAGCAAGGCCCTAAGACTTAGCAAGACCCTGTCTCAAAACAAAATATTTTTTAAAAAAAGGGGGGGGGGCTGGGGTTATAGCTCATCCGTACTTGCCTAGCATGTGTGAGGCCCTGGGTTCTATAACAAGCACCACATAAAAATAAATAAAAGGCTGGGGATGTGGCTCAGTGGTTAAGTAAGCAACCTTGGGTTCAGTCCCAGGTACCAAAACAAAAAAACAAAAATAAACTATCCTTAACCACAAAATAAAAGTTCCACCTTCAAAACTTGACAACTACTGTCCCACATAGTAGGATATGCCTACATTCCCAGCTACTTAGGAGACTGAGGTGGGAGGGTCACTTGAATCCAGGGGCTCTGGGCTATAGTGTGCTATGTTGACCCCATGTATGCACTAACTTTGGTATCAATATGGTAACTTCCCAGGAGCATAGGACCACAGGTAGCCTAAAGAGGGGTGAACGACCCAGGTCAAAATGGAACAGGTCAAAACTCCTGTGCTGATCAGTGGTGGGATTGGGTTTATGCCTGTGAATAACCACTGCACTTTGGCCTTGCGAGATCTTGTGTCTTTTCAATGCTGCCCTGTCAAGACTGGTAGCATAGGGCTGGGGTTGTGGCTCAGTGGTAGAGCGCTTGCCTTGCACGAGAGAGACCCTGGGTTCGATCCTCAGCACCACATAAAAATAAATAAGTGAAATAAAGGTATTATGTCAAACTACAACTAAAAAATAAATGTAAAAAAAAGACTTGTAGCAGCCACACCCTGTCCTCTGGCTTTGAGTCAGAGTTGTGGTAGCCATTAAAAGAATCAGACTGGGAAAAAAAAAAACTTGAAAATTACTACTGAGGGATTTGGATTTCTATGGGCCTTAAACTAAAAAATAAACCCTTGTGCTTGTTTTCTACTACTACTTTTTTTCTGCAATACTGGGGATTGAACCCAGGGCCTTGCTAGGCAAATGATCAATCAAGAGCTACATTCAGTCTTTCTTAAAAAATTATTTTTATTTTGACACAGCATCTAAGTTCTCCAGGCTGGCCTCAAATTTGTAATCTTTTGGGCTATAGTTCAGTGGTAGAGTGCTTGCCTAGCATGTGTGAGAAACTGGATTTGATTCTCAATACTACATAAAAATAAATAAATAAAATAAAGGTATTGTGTCCATATACAACTAAAAAAATATTAAAAAAAAAATTTGTAATCTTCCTATCTCATCTCCTGCGTAGCTGGGTTTACAGGTATGTGCTAATATGCCCAGCTCTTCTACCGATGAACCACAACCCAAGCTCTTATTTTACTGCTTATATAATGAATGTGATTTGGGGCTGGGATTGTGGCTCAGCAGTAGAGCGCTTGCCTCGCACAGGAGAGGCCCTGTGTTTGATCCTCAGCACCACATAAAAATAAATAAGTAAAATACAGATATTGTGTCCAACTACAATTTAAAAAAAATAAAAGAACACGATTTTGTGACACCTCTGGTGTTAAACATAAAATGACTCTTAAATAGAAAAGAGCTTTCATTGTCTTTTTAAAAAAATATTTAATTTTTAGTTGTAGGTGGTGCTGAGGATCAAATCCAGTGCCTCATGTGTGCCAGGCGAGCATTGAGTCACAATGCCAGCACCTACTGTCTGTCTTATAAATAAGTGTTCCCTGCCCCTCTCCCTGCCCAGGGCCTCTAGCATGCTACCCAAGTGCTGCAGAACTAAGCTGCACTCCTCGCTCTCCAATAAATTAAAATAGATTCTCAAATGCTGAAAAAGAAAATACTATAATCATAGTTCATCCTCACCCTCCACCAAGTTACAGAACAAATGGACCCAAAGGTCTCTCTACCTTTCTAGTCAGAAATTTTAGCTCTTAGCAAATTTCTTTAAATACATGGCTCATAACATAACTTACCTGAATTTAGGATTTTCAACTGTAACTACACCAACTTCTATTTCTGAAGGTTTGAAATCAATTGATAGAACAGTAGACAGGCATGTGATTGCAGTCTGAAAAAAAAATTACATTAAAACATAGTATTTCAAAATTATAAGAATTTTATAATCTTAAGCTTATTCAAATAATATGAGTTCATCAAAAGCTATTTCTTCTGTTCCACATTTTAGTAATATAGTTCTATAGCCTATGTTACTAACAGATTGCTTAACTCTAATGTGTCATCTGTCAATGATGGTAAACTTACTTCTATTATAGCAAGCTATAAATTAAAGGGGTACATGAAAAAATAGGATGCTTTATATAAAATTTTATTTGTGGGGTTTGGGTTGTGGCTTAGTGGTAAAGCACTTGCTTAGTATGTGTGAGGCACTGGGTTCAATTCTCAGCACTGCATATAAACCAGTGAATAAAGGTCCAGCAACAAGTAAAAAAATTCATATATATATATATATATATATATACACACATATACACACACACACACACATATATAAATATAATTTTTTAAAAAGTTTATTGGCTTGATGATCACTATATGCAAGGTATTACACTTAGTGCTGATGTGAGATGGAAAGAGAATCAATAATAATACAATTTGTACCTTCAAAGATTTTATAGTAGTAAGAATTTAAGAACATTTAAAATCTGATGTATTAATATAATTACGAATTTAAAAATTTAAGAAATATTTTAACAAGATCTATTATCTCCAAGATGAGAACTTTACATCTCTCTTAGTATAAGATAAACTACTAACCAAATACAAAAGTTTATATTTATTTATGTAGATGTGTGTGGGGAGCAGTATTGGGAATCAAATCCAGCTTTGAGCATGCAGGCAAGTGCTCTATCATGTACTATATCCCAAGGCTCCACATAGAAAAGTTTTATTTATTTATTTATTTTGTGTGTGGTACTATGGTAGGCAAACACTATCACTGAGCTACATCTCTAGAGCCTAAATAAAAAAGATTTCTTTGTTGTTGTTGTTTTGGTACTAGGGATTGAACCCAGCCAGGGGCACTTTACCACTGAGCTACATCCCTAGCCCATCCTGCTTTAAATTTTTTATTTATTTTTATTTTAAGATGGGGTCTAAGTTGCTTACAGTCTCACTAAATTGTTGGTGCTGGTCTTGAACTTGCAATATTCCTGCCTTGGCCTCCTGAGTCTTAGGGATTACAGGCACGTGTGTCACTGTACCAGACTATAAAAGAGGCTTCTTGGGTTGGTGTTGTGGCTCCGTGGTAGAGTGCTTG